CGCATGCATCATGGACGTACGGGCGACGTCCATGACCATGCCAATGCGGCGCTCAGCAATCCCATTTTGCTCTGGAGAGTCCGGAAGCGTAAAGGTCTGGCGGATGCCTCGTGCACGGCAGCAGGCTCGCAGAAGGCCAGAGGAGAACTCTCCGCCTCTGTCAGAGTGCAGACGTAGAATAGGAAAGTCTGAGCCAAAGCTCCTCCTGAGCTGGAGACGAGCTGCGCGGATCCAGTCGATCAACACCTTAGTGACCTCACCCTTGCTGCGCAAGGGGAAGACTGTGGTGTAACGAGAGTAGTCGTCATCCACCTGCAGGAAGTAGCGCTCGTGACCCTGTCCACGGACGCGGGCCCGGCCCCACACGTCCATGTGAAGCGTCTGTAGCGGGGCCTCTGTAGGCAGGAAATGAGAGGAGTGAGGGGCAACCCGCAGCCGCGCCTCGACACAGGGGACGCAGGAAGGGCCAGCCCCTGGAGGAAGGGGAGGGAGGGACCGGGGAAGACCAGAGACAAGGACACGGGAGGCCATGCCTCGGAGACGAGGCAGGGAGGGGTGACCAAGGCGGTGGTGCCAAAGGAGAGTCTCGTGAGACAGGATGCGACACGAGCAGGGGGCAGACTCAGGACCAGACCTGGACGTTGCAGCTAACACCTGACCTGACACAGCTACCTGACCAGACGCAGGGACAAGAAGAGACTCAGTGGTCAAGGTGTAGAGGCTCGACCCCGGCTGATGCGTAAACGTGGCCAGGTGCCGGCCTGTGCGAGCGTCCGAGCAGTGGGTCACCCGCTGACTCGCAGGAGTAATCTGGTGAACCCCCGCATCCTGTAGGTCAGCACCACTCACCAAGTTCGTAGAGAACAAAGGAAGGTAAAGACCAGACAAGGTGCCAAAGGGGGCAGCCGGACACGGGAGGACAGTGGAGAAGTGAGAAAGGACAGGATCCCCAGAGGGGTCTGCCAGGGAGACCGCAACCGGCCGACCAAGCGGCGTGAGTGTGGTGCGGTCTCGAAAGAAAGAGCGACAAGCCCCTGAGTCAAGTGTGAAGGTGAGGGAGGCCGAAGCCGACGCGGTACCTGAGAGCGCAGACTCACCAACACCTGAGGATGCAGACGCACTGGCACCTAGAGCAGCAGCCTCACTGGCACCTAGAGTTGCAACCTCACCAGTACCTAGAGCAGCAGTCTCAATGCCCGGGTCGGGCGGGAAACACTGGTAACAGTCACCCTCATCACTAATAGTCACAGCATACATGGCAGCAAGAATAGCATCAAATTCAACATCAAAGATAGCTACACCCGCCCTAGACAGCTCACTCCAGCGGGGGATCTCAGTGGCCTCCGGGAACTGGTGACGCCAAGCGTCCGTCAAGCGGCCAAAGCAGCGCTGGGTGGGGTGTGCACCCCCACACTGCTCACCCGCATAGTCGCCGGTGCGTAGGACGTAGGTGCACGGACCAGAACCCCCACCACGCTGACGTGCAGCGTACCACTCACGGAGCTGCTGAGGTGGGGGGATGTCCTGAGAACGCTGCTGCTGCTGCTGCTGCTGCTGCTGCTGCTGCTGGCGCTGACCACCACTGGAGCCGCTCCACTGCGTAGCGCCACCCCGACCTGCTCCACCTCCTCCACCACCGCCTCCTCCACCTCCGCCACCACCGCCGCCTCCGCTCCCACCGCTACCGCCTCCGCCGCCTCCGCGTCCACTGCCGCCACTGACACCTCCACCCCTGCCACCACTCCCACCGCCACCCCCACTCCCTCCGCCGCCTCCACCGCCGCCTCCACCACCCCCGCTAGCTCCTCCCACGCCCTTGCCCCCCTTGCCCTTGCCAGAGCGGCGTCTCCTGCTAGGGGCAGACGCCGCACCGACCGACTCAAGACCAACGAGGTCGGCCGCAGCAGCAAAGGCGATAGAGGGCAAAAGGGGGGAAGGGGAACACCCCTCAAAGATGGGGGTGCGAGGGTCACCACGAGAGGCTCCTACAGCGACTATGCTCTTCTCCACTGCTAAGAGGGCCTTCTCGAGGAGGTCAACAGTGAGAGTGGTGGGACAAACTGAGAAGAAGTGGTCTCTGACTACACGAAGGGAGTCACGGAGGCGGGTGACTATGTAATAGAGAGTGATGTACATTGGGGGGGGGGTTCTTGGCGCGGAACTCAGCATGAAGCGCAGCGCGGTAGCGAGTGTCACTAGTGCGGAGGTGCGTGATGAGGTCAGCGACTGTGGGAAAGGCAGTAAGGTCAGGGAAGAGGTACGGTAGCATGAGGCGGCTCAGTGCAGCAGTGGCAGGGGAAGAGTAGCGCGCAACTAAAGTGTCGTACAAGGTCTGAGCACTCTTGTACTGACTAAAATGTGCGCCCTCATTGGTAGGCAGGTGGCAACGCACAGCAAGACGTATAGCAGCATCGCGAGTGGCCCACTGTGAGCGAACAGTGGCGTCGGCATCGGCAGCAGGGGCAGGGGAGGCACCAGAGGTGAGGTCAAAGAGAGAGAGACCGTCTGCCCTATCGCACTGTAGGAAAATCTGCAGGTCATCTACCCAGACGTCAAAGTCAATGGCCTGACCTTCAGCATCAAAAGCTAGAACACTGGGGGTAGCCATGACAGCAGTAGACTAGTAGCGCTAACTGTAGGGCAGGGGCAGTGCAGTGACAGAGGCGCTGCTCTCTCCAGACAGATGGTTTGGGCAGCTCGGCAGCAGAGCAGCTCGGCAACACGGCGGCTCGAGCGACTCGGGCGGCTCGGCATTAACTGCGGCTTGGCGGCACCCGCTGCTCGGCTCCTCAGCTGCTCAGGCGACTCGAGCGGCTCGGGCGGCTCGAGCGGCTCGGGCGGAACGGGCGGCTCGGGCTGCTTAGCGGTGCGGGCGACTCGGCTGCGTAGGGCGTCAGAGCCGCTGGTAGGGCGGCGGGGCCGCTGGTAGGGTGGCGGGGCCGCAGGTAGGGCAGCGGGGCCGCAGGTAGGGCGGCGGGGCCGCAGGTAAGGTGGCGGGGCCGCAGCAGCAGGCGACGGGGCCGCAGGTAAGATGGCGGGGCCGCAGCGAAGGGCGGCGGGGCCGCAGGTAGGGCGGCGAGGCCGCAGGTAAGGTGGCGGGGCCGCACCAGAGACGACGGGGCCGCAGGTAAGGTGGCGAGGCCGCAGCGAAGGGCGGCGGGGCCGCAGGTAAAGGGCGGCTGGGCCGCAGATAAGGTGGTGGGGCCGCAGGTAAGGTGGCGGGGCCGCAGGTAAGGTGGCGTGGCCGCAGGTAAGGCAGCGGGGCCGCAGGTAAGGCGGCGGGGCCGCAGGTAAGGCGGCGGGGCCGCACATAAGGGCGGCGGGGCCGCTGGTAGGGTGGCGCGCCCGCAGGTAGGTGGGAGGGTCGCAGGTGAGGGCGGCGCAAGGGCCGCAACCGGCCGCTGAGAGTGGCGACGGGCCGAGTAAGGGCGGCGCGAGGGATGCCGCTAGGGGCGACGCGACTAGGCCGGAGGAGGCCTAGTACGAGCGCGTCAGTAGAGAGGGCACACGAGGCGCGACTCGGGCCTAAGCGAGGTGCGCTACGGGCAGAAAAAAAAAAAAATCGACTTGGTGAGCCTTAGGAACAGTTCCCACGAGGGAACCTGCTCTATACCATGAGAAGAAACGAGAATGACTGCACTAAGGAATGAAACTGGTACAAACATGCAACCCTAGGAATGTGTACCCCATATGGGCTACCCCACTACAGCCTACACCTACCCCATATTTGACAGTCAGTACCCCGATGGTCGCCTTGACTTACCATAAGAACGCAACTACAATGCCTAAGCTAATCGGTTACGTCGACGCAGATCACGCGGGCGACTCCGACAACAAACGATCGTGCACTGGCTACATCTACCGCTTCGAGCCTATCGGACCTATCTCCAGGCAATCGAGCAAGCAGGAATTAATTGCTCTCTCGTCACCTGAAGCAGAATATATTGCACTCTGCTCAGCCACCAAGGAAGTACTCTACCTTAGCGGAGTTACCAAAATTTACCCTGTTCTGCGACAACCAATCGGCAATTCGCATCGCCAACAAGAACGGCTTCGCGAACAGGGCGAAACACATCACCCTGCCATATTTCTTCGTGAAGGACGAGATCGAGAAGGGAAGGCTCGAGCTGTCATACCGTCCCACGTCCGAGATGGCAGCTGACTACCTGACCAAGAAGCTCGGAAAGCGAAGTTTGAATACTGCATGCTGCTGACTGGACAGAGCCACGCCAGCAACACTCCAGAAGCGAAGGGGAGTGTTGGAAACAATCGGTCCTAAGTGCCTCTGTCGTGTCGAAACACTAAGGCACAAGCAAAGCAAAGCATATCGAGGCACCCGCGAGTCAACCCTCGGAGGTTGAAGTAACCGCTGGAGGTTACGCGAAAGTCAAAGGTCAGCGACCTTTGACCTCTCAAGTACAGCGCGATAGCAAGGACACACAACTGACTCGCTACAGAGTGGTTGCCCGAGTCGTCACTGTATCGAACCGCAACAGCAACAGTAAAGAAGTTATAACTGTATCTCTTCGCATTCCTTGTACTCTTATATAATCCTGTACATCCTTGCTTTCATCAACTTACTTTGCCCTCACATACTAGCGCAAGGTGGTTCACAACTCTTTATTAACGCTTCCGCTACTACACCAACTCTACCCAGAGTTCACCCCTGCAAAGATCCTAAGGGCTTTTTCAGCCCAACACACTGACACCACTCAACTGTTAGGGCCTGCTGTTACTTGCTGATGTGAATACCAAGCACACCATTAAGGAGCCTCAGAAATCCTCCTACCACCACAAAAAGTGCACTGATGGTTCTTGCAACTGTCAATTCATGCTTGTAAAATGAACTCTTGATGGATGGATGGAACATTACAAAAGCATTCACTCTACAGCCTGAAGTAGCTGCACGTATTTACAAGAGCAGCTGCATGCAAGAATGGTGCTTCTGCAATGTTCCCCCACCATCTCTCAATCATCATCCATATCCCTTTTCAACCATATTACAACTTCCCACCAATCACTCTCCCTGAGAGCGCCCCGTCAGCACCGGAGAATCCGAGGAACAGGTCATCATTGGTGATCCCTTGGATCGATGCCAGCACATCCGCCACGTCAGCAGCTGACGCCCTCACGACATTGGCCAGCGACCAGGACACCGGGCTCATGGGCACCCACGTGCCAGGCAGGGCGAGGGCTGCTGAAGCAGCAGCGGTGCCGCAGGCGTTGCCCTTGAAGATGGCCTGCGAGTCCGGGGCCTTGGTCACTCCTGCTGCGTACAGGTAGTATGTGAGCAGATAGTCCGAGCCACTGCATTGGGGGAGGAGGAGGGAAGGTGGAAGGAGATGAGGGAAGGGAACACGGTTTAACATTGAGCCGTCAAGGGCAAACGTGATTCAGCAGGATTCAACAAGGCTCAAGTAATCGATGTAGCAGGATTCATCAAGTCAACGGGTCAACTCGAGCCAACGCGAGTGACTCACATCTTGAGGATCTGAATGTCAGCAGCGCCGGCTTGGAGAGACAGCAGGCCGTTGCATGACGTCAGCACGGCACGCAGCATGCCCGCCTGCTGGGGCAGAAGATTCGCGACTCTGAGAGCTCCGTTGAGAGCGCCGTTGAGAGCGGAATTCAAGGCGTTGAGCATCCCGGCGAGCGCGGACACGTTCCCGTTGAGCCCCGCGACCCGCTGCGTCACAGCTGCCAGCCGCTGCCTCACCGCCGCGCGGATCGCCGCGTTCCGACTCGCGTAAGCCGCTGTGGTGGCTGCACTCGACACGCCCGCCAAGCCTACGCGCGAGCCTGCGCCCGAGCCTACGCCCGAGCCGATTATTCCTGCCAGGTCCTTGTTCAGAGCGGCGATGCCGATGCTGATCGATGAGATGTTGGATTGAAGGCCGGAGATCTGGGAAATCAGATCCGTGAAGTTCAGATTCGACCCTGAGATGTTAAGCGCGTTTAGATTAACGAGGCTGGCGTTTAAAGCGGCGAGGTTGGCTTTCAGCGCGGATATTTGCGCCTGGAGTGCGGCGTCTGCGGAAGCGTCGCTGTTGAGGGCCGCCGAGATCTGATCGAGCGATTTCTTGAGAAGCGCGTCGAGAGACGCGATCTGGCCGTTGAGGGACGACTGGAGGCCCGAGAGCGTCGAATTGAGCGCCGCTGCGGGGCTGCTGCTGCTCGGTGCTGCGGCTGCCGCGGCGATGGCTGAATTCAAGCCGGGTGGAAGTCGGTTGGTGGGTAGACTGCCGACGCCCGGGAGAAACCGGCCTGCTTCGACTCGTTGTGTTGCCAAAAGCACTGCAAATATTCAAAAAGAGGAGTGATGAGTTTCGGAGCACGAAAGGCAACTGACAACGCTATTACGCAACGGAAACGGCTTGAATGTTCAGTGCTGAAAACCGCGCTTTGCAAACACTCCTGGAGGTGGCTCACCTGTGACGAGGAGAGCAACAAGCCCTAGCGTGAAAGGTGCTGCAGTGCGCGCCATGATTGCCGAGCTAGGACGCGAAATACGCGGAGCTACTAGCAGAAGTGCTAACTGGTGAGCTATCTCGGGAAGTATCACTTTGAAATGTGAGACGAAACGAAAGGCGCAGTGAGCAGCGCGTAATTAGAATTGAGGACGGAGGGAGCAATGTACGTGAGTGTGCTGTTTTGAGAGTATAATTCAATGCAGAGGCTAATTTGAGAGTCGATGCCCTTTCGGATTTCTCCTGCTCGATTTATACATTTCTGATCTGAGACAGTGGTGGTCTGGCCTTTCTGCATGAGGAAGTCGGGTTGGATCTGGAAATTCGGGAATTTCAGCGCGGACCGCGGATTGCGTGTCTCTGATTGGTTTATCCGCTGCCGTCGAGTCGCACACGGGGAGGCTAGAGAGCGGTGCTGCTGCTGCTGAGGCATGGTCGGACGAAGGTGAGAGAAATTCTGTACAGTATGCGGTGCTGTGCTGTGTGGTGTGAATTAGATGGTGGTGAAGGGGCAGAGCCAACCAGCCAACTAGAGCACATCGGCGAAACGCCAACGAAATTCAGTTGACGGGGTTTCGCTTCAAGGTCGAACGCGTTGCCGATGTACAACTACAAGTACAAAAAAAACTAAAAGTTCCTTGGGGCCTTCATCAGGGGGAATACGGCACTGCAGCGGCTGTATGCCCTTTCCCCCTCAAACCTACACCATGCTGAGGCCCTTGCGCTACTTTGATGCAGGCTTGAGTGTGATTATAAGGAATCCTGCGGGGTCGAATTTTGCCCCGATCACCTTCCCTTGAACGGCTCGAGGCAGCTCCACACACCGCCTTTGGTCCCCCGCCTCTACCAGCAGCTCTGCCCCGCCCTTCCACTGGCGATGGGTGGGTGGGGGGGTAATGGGGAGAAGGAATTGGGGGAACTTGGCATGCGTATGACACGATAACCTTCCCCTGGAGAATGCCTCAACAACTCCACGCACCGCCACTGGTCCTCAGCCTCTACCAACAGCTCTGCCCCGCCCTTCCACTGGTGATTGTCTGGTGAAGGAGGGGAACGAGGGGAGGAGAGGAGTGAAGGGAGGAAAAGGGGGAAGAATAGGCAATCAGCGGGCATGTCATTGCCAAACCGACTCACCTGCTGCTTCTGAACCTCTTATCTGTCGAATTCCCAAAGCGTTGGTCATTGGGAGTCAACCAAGATGAGGAAGGAAAAGCGCATAAGAGGAGGGCGTATCTTGAACCATGGTGAAAATATGTGTAAGAACCAAACCGACTCACCTGCTGCTTCTGAACCTCTTACTTGTCGAACCCTGAAAGCGTTGGTCATTGAGAGTCCAAGTGCACCAAGATGAGGAAGGAAAAGCGCATAAGAGGAGGGCGTATCTTGAACCATGGTGAAAATATGTGTAAGAGCCAAACCGACTCACCTGTTGCGGCTTGACCTCCGGCTTGCTGAATCCCGGTAGAATGGCATTGAGTGTCAACCAAGAGAAGCAAATAGTATGGATGAACCCTAAAGAAAATATCAATGCCAACCCGACCCAACACCACTCACCTGTTGCAGCTTGACCTCTTGCTTGTCGAATCCCGGCAGAAAAAGACGAACCGTGCACGCCGCCACGTCCACGTCCACCGCCGGAGGAGCCTTCCCCACGCCTTCCCCGTTCATAACCGCCACCGCTCCATCGCTCATCTGCCCGGCTGCGGCCGCTACAGCCGCCGGTGCCTCCTCTGTCACCACGGGCAGTTGTCCCACGGGCAGCGGAGAAAACTTTTCTGCCAGTCCCCCTTCCCCAGATGCTACCTCCGATGGGAGTAGGAAGACGCCTGAAGGGGACACGCCTGCCTGCACTGCGCAGCCCCAGATGCGGCGACAGGTGTCGACTGATGAGTGGCTCGCCGCATCGGCCAATAGGAAGACGGACGTGCGGTAGGGGTCTGCGAATGCTGAGACGGCTTTCTGAGGGGTTGGGAGGGGCAGGTAGGGTGGGAGAAGGGATGACGGGCGAGCGAGAGGGGCGGACGGAGAGATTAGGGAAACGAGTTGGGGGTTGCTGTTGTGATATGGTTCAAAAAGCTTTCTGATGTGCCGGGCCCCCAGACTCATAGAGAGGAAGGAGTCAACAGTCTCTACATCAGCACTCACAGAGAGGAAGGAGTCAACAGTCTCTACATCAGCACTCACAGAGAGGAAGGAGTCAACAGTCTCTACATCAGCACTCACAGAGAGGAAGGAGTCAACAGTCTCTACATCAACACTCCCACCCCTCCCACCACCACGACCAGCACCCCCCTCCCCGCCCCCCGCCCCCCCCCCCTTCACCACGACCAGCACTCCCAACACAGAGAGTTTTGAAACGCTGCCCGCTCAGACTCAGAGTCAGGAAGAGTCGAGCTTCTCCCATATCTCCGCCGTGCTGCGCTGCCCATCCTCCCCACCACTCCCACCACCCCCATCGCTGCTACTCCCACTGCCCCCTTTGGAGGAGGCACAAGCTTTGGAGTCCAGCAGGGCCAACTTCGGTCACAGAGGGCAGAGCCGCACCTCTGCTCCTATTGCACCTCTGCTCCTATTGCACCTCTGCTCCTATTGCACCTCTGCTCCTATTGCACCTCTGCTCCTATTGCACCTCTGCTCCTATTGCACCTCTGCTCCTATTGCACCTCTGCTCCTATTGCACCTCTGCTCCTATTGCACCTCTGCTCCTATTGCACCTCTGCTCCTATTGCACCTCTGCTCCTATTGCACCTCTGCTCCTATTGCACCTCTGCTCCTATTGCACCTCTGCTCCTATTGCACCTCTGCTCCTATTGCACCTCTGCTCCTATTGCACCTCTGCTCCTATTGCACCTCTGCTCCTATTGCACCTCTGCTCCTATTGCACCTCTGCTCCTATTGCACCTCTGCTCCTATTGCTCCTCTGCTGCTATTCCACCTCTGCTCCTATTGCACCTCTGCTCCTATTGCACCTCTGCTCCTATTGCACCTCTGCTCCTATTGCACCTCTGCTCCTATTGCACCTCTGCTCCTATTGCACCTCTGCTCCTATTGCACCTCTGCTCCTATTGCACCTCTGCTCCTATTGCACCTCTGCTCCTATTGCACCTCTGCTCCTATTGCACCTCTGCTCCTATTGCACCTCTGCTCCTATTGCACCTCTGCTCCTATTGCACCTCTGCTCCTATTGCACCTCTGCTCCTATTGCACCTCTGCTCCTATTAAACCTCTGCTCCTATTACACCTCTGCTCCTATTACACCTCTGCCATGACCCAAGAGTGAGGTGCCGTGCCGTGCCGGTACTCACAGAGAGGAAGGAGTCGAGCTTCTCCCATATCTCCGCTGATGAAGGCTTGTTTGTACTGATGAAGGCTCGCAAGAGCCGAAACTAGTTTACTCAAGTTCTGACTTCAAGATTCCGTTTTCGTTCAAACTGGCCTACTAAAATACGATCTAGCATACAAGCTTAAACCAGGCTTCCCACTTTCACCTCATGGAGTTTGTTTCGCCGTCTCAATAACATCCAAGTTGATGGACGTCAGACCTCCGCAGCCCACCTGTTTACTAATAACAGTACTCACAGAGAGGAAGGAGTCGAGCTTCTCCCATATCTCCGTCGTGCTGCGCTGCTCGTAGGATGCAACCCCACCGCTCCCGCCGCTCCCACCACTCCCCCCTTTGGAGGAGCCAGCAATGGAGTCGAGTAGGCGGGCCATGGAGGGCAGAGAGGAACTCACAGAGAGGAAAGAGTCGAGCTTCTCCCATATCTCCGCTGTGCTGCGCTGCCCATCCTCCCCACTTCCACCAGCATTCCCACCACTCCCACCACTCCCCCCTTTGGAGGAGCCAACAATGGAGTCGAGTAGGCGGGCCACGGAGGGCAGAGCCACACGCCCGATGTCTGTCCGCTCTGCTAAGGCACGGAACCTCCTCAGATACCACCTGGCTCGGATGGGTTGAGTTGGTTTGGGATGGATTGGTGGGACGGTGGTGTTACCACCTGATCTAATCTGGGCCTGTAAACCACATTTCTTCACTGCACATCATCACATTACACCAATTAACACCGCATTACACCGCACTAAACCATGCTTCACCTGGCTTTCTCTGGGCTAGCCAGCATGCGCAGCACCTCCCAAGTAGTGGCCCCGTCAAACACCACCACCTCTGCCTCCCCTTCATCCCACGGGTACACCCACTCCCCCACTGCTGCTGCTGCTCTGCTACCGCTTAGATCCCAGCTAACCACATTGCACCGCACATCACCACATGTCACCACATTCCACCGCACTAAACCACGCCTCACCTGGCTTTCTCTGGGCTGGCCAGCATGCGCAGCACCTCCCAGGTGGTGGCCCCATCAAACACCACCACCTCCGCCTCCCCCTCCCCCCACGGGTACACCCACTCCCCTGCTGCCGCTCCTTTCTTCCCTGCTGACGTGGCCCGCGGCCCGGATGACGTGGCAAAGGCCAGCAGGCCGCCAGCTGGACGTGCGATGCGCTCGAGGACAGCGACTGCCATGACGGCGTCCATGCCAGGTAGGACAGACAGCTCCTCGCCCACCACCTGGCGCAGGTGCGGGTTTGTGGGTGGTGTGAGATTTAGGCATGTGTGAGGGTGAAGGATGAGGGTAGTGCATGACTGCGACTGCCATGACGGCGTCCATGCCAGGTAGGACCAACAGCTCCTCGCCCACCACCTGGAGGGGTGGAATTCGGTGTCGGGAATTCATGAGTGTGAGGCTGAGGGATTGTCGGGATGGTTCCTCCCAAGTAGGACTGCGACTGCCATTACCACGTCCATGCTAGGTAGGACCGACAGCTCCTCGCTCACCGCCTGTTATGGTGATGGCATGGCGATGGCATGGTGATGGCATGGCGATGGCATGGTGATGGCATGGCGATGGCATGGTGATGGCATGGTGATGGCATGGTGATGGCATGGTGATGGCATGGTGATGGCATGGTGATGGGATAGTGATGGCATGGTGATGGGATGGTGATAGCATGGCAAAGATTAGGGGTTTGTGATGCAGGAATGTGGTGCTGGCTGGGGTGGTCATTTCACCAAGACTGCGACTGATGTGACCGCGGGAATGCCAGGCAGCACTGAGAGATCTCCTTTCTAACAACCTAGCGTGGGTATGGGTGAAAAGTTGTGGTTTGTGGTTACGATTGGTTACGATTTTGATTGTGCTCTGGTCGCTCAACCGACTCTGCATCTGCCATGCCTGCGTCTGCGATGTTGAGTTTACTTTTGAGAATTTCCAAAAGTAAACTCAGCACGTCTGCATCACCGCCTGGCAGCACAGCCAGGCTTATGGACAGCCGGAAGTCTGGAGCTTGCAACTCATGCGTTTTTAGCTGAGTCGATGTTTGAGTCGACTCAAAAACAGAGTTTGCAACTCATTCGTTTGTGGCTGAGGGATGCGGTTTGTTTTTTTGAGTCAACTAAGAATTAGATTTACTACAGGCTGATGGACAGCCGGAAGTCTGGAGCTTGCAACTCATGCGTTTGCGGCTGAGGGATGTGTGATTGAGAATCAGAGGTTGAGAGGGGTGTGTGATTCATTGATGTGCGTGGTTCCAGTGCTATGGTCGTCTGGACGAATAACATTTCAGAAGATTCCTCACATCACCCTCACCAACCGTCACACTCATATTCCCACCCTCACAATAGTCACACTCGTGTAGCCACACTCACCAACAGTCACACTCGTACAATCACACTCACCTCTGCCAGTGCGCCTTGTGTGATCCCCAGTCGCTCGTCCGCCTTCTTTATGATCTCAAGGGGCGCCAGAAGCAGCTGACACGGAAAGAACGGCAAGAAAGGGAACAGGTATGAAGGGAACAGTTTTATGAATTGAGGTAAGAATGGGAACAGCATTGAAGACATGAAAAAGGAAAGGAAACAGTACAGAGAGGAAACAGGCCGAGGCAAAAGAGAAAAGCAGGAAAGGAAAGTGTCAAGGGGACAACTTGCTGATTGCTTCTCGAAGGTCAGTGGCAGTAGAGAGGGAATGAAAGGACTAGGTACCGGGGGAGAGGGGGCACGAGTGGAATGACGGGAAGGAAGTTGGACGAGCAGAGACGGCAGGCAGGCGTGAGAGAAAGAGGGAAAGCCAGTATATATTCGCAGATTATGGTACAAGACTGAATCTTGACGCGAATGGTGCTCTATACATCAGCAATGAATCCCTGTGAGGTTGCCGTTTTCAGTGGTTGGGTTGAGTCTGGGCTGAATGTACCTTGGTGGTTTCCACACGAAGGGCACAAAGCAGTGGCGGCTGGGAGGCATCAGCAGCAGCAGCCGCAGCAGCAGCAGGCACGGGCACGGGTTGGGGGCTGGGTGTGAGGCGCATGCCCAACAGGCGATCAGCCACTCTGTCCTGTGACTGCACCACCAGACACGTGCGGTACCCTGCTGCTGCATACCGCTGGGTATGACAGTTGGGAGTGAGGAGTGGGGGGAGAGAGGAGTGGGTGGAGCATAGATCGGTCTTGATTAGCTGTGGGTGTAGCTGATGTGGTTCGTGTGGGCTATGCAAGCGATTGACCAGCATGCCCAGCAGCCTGTCCGCCACTCTGTCCTGTGACTGCACCACCAGGTGACTTTTGAGTCGACTCAAAAGTCACCTTGTAGCTGATGTGGTTCGTGTGGGCTATGCAAGCGATTGCCCAGCATGCCCAGCAGGCGGTCGGCCACTCTGTCCTGTGACTGCACCACCAGACACGTGCGGTACCCTGCTGCTGCGTACCGTTGGAAAGCAGTGGGGAGACAGAGGAGTGGGTGGAGAAGAGAGTGGCCTTCATTTCACTGAGGGAGTGGCTGATGTGATGAATGATGTGTGTTGTTGCACTTGCACTGGCACTTGCACTGGCACTGACACTTGCACTAGCACTGGCACTGGCACTGGCACTGGCACTGGCACTGGCACTGGCACTGGCACTGGCACTGGCACTCAGCAGCACCACAAGTTTGACGCTCCCATCATGCAACTGCAAGCTTGATGCCATGTGCTGAATGAGGTCAAAACGGGTCACCGACTCTCGGTTACAATGTAGCAATGGGGAATGCCACCTGAGCATGTCATCAGAGGCAACATCCAGAATGCCACTTGAACCAGCAGAACGCTACCTGAACCAACAGATTGCCACCTGAACCAACAAAATGCCACCTGAACCAACAGATTGCCACCTGAACCAACGGAATGCCACCTGAACCAACAGATTGCCACCTGAACCAACAGAATGCCACCTGAACCAACAGAATGCCACCTTAACCAACAGATTGTCACCTGAACCAACAGAAGGCCACCTGAACCAACAAATTGCCACCTGAACCAACAGAAGGCCACCTGAACCAACAGATTGCCACTGAACCAACAGATTACTACCTGAACCAACAAATTGCCACCTCTGATCCTCTCGGATGTCACCTGAGCGAGCAGCTTTTAGAGTTGACTTATAATCACCTGCGCCAGAAGCACAGAGGCAGTCGTCTTCCCCGAGCCGCCCTTCCCCAGCACCATCACCATCCGCGCAGACTCTCCACTCCCCGCCTTGCCAGCCCCCCGCGTCGCCGCCGCCGCGCAAGCTACCCCGCGTTTTTTATTAGTACCCGCAGCATTTTGGGTACAAATCGTAGGAGTAACGGCAGTAGCTATTCTCTTATCCTCATTAGCGCTAGATAAATAGTGTTTCTTTCCTTCTGCGCTGGAATAAGACGCGGAAGGTTCTGATATCGAGGCGCGAGAAGTGCTGGCGTGGCGAGCTCCATGACGCGGAATTCGCGGAAGGGGGGAGTGCGAGAGGGGAGAGTTGAGGGTGAAAATGGCTTGCGGAAAAGACTGGCAGGAGGAGGGGTTGAAGCCGGGGAGAAAAGTTGAGCGATAGCAGGGAGCCGCGCCAGGAGCTCCGCACATTGCGGTGGAGAATGTGACGGCCATGGCTGGTCTGCTGCGGAATTCGCCTCGGACCAGCTTTTGCCTGCCTGCTGCTGGTGTAGGAGATATGCTTATATGCGGTATATTTGAATGCACCGAAATGAGCCACACCGCATGAACCAGGCACATCTATAATGTCAAACATTTTAGCTTGAATACTGAGAGACAAATCCTAACTGTATTCTCCAGCTTCTATTCTCCCCTAAAAGATGTCGTGCGGAATCTACTAGAATCATCCATGTTATTTGCGTCAAGCTATTTCGTATTACCTTCTCCATTTACTGTGTATCCAATCGAGTGAATCATTATCGCGTTTTCCCTAACCCAGATTCTTCTAACCCAACCATTGTCAAGAGAGATCTGCTCTATCCCTGGTCCAGCCAGGCACCTCATTACGGCGATCGCGTTCGCGTTCCGCTAGCGCGGTCAGCGGAACGGAAGCTCGACTTTTGCTGCCTGCACCATCCTCCCCTCCCGCCTCCCCCTCTTCCCCGTTTCCCCCGCGTTCCCCCCTTTCCACAATCCACAACCCCGTCCCGCCAGATTGAGGCCACCCAAGCCACGCTTGAGCTAGCTCCAGCGCGAAACACCACATCATTTGAACCATTGTCTTGCAATCCTGTCCGTCCACCTCTAAAGGATCTAATCCTCGCCGTTCCCGACAGCATCCTCACCGTCATCACCCATCAGGGATGCCTGACCAACCAGACCAGACCTACCTGCCTGACGATTAGAAGTCAGCAGAGCCATGATTTGCATAGCAATTCGTTACTTCCATTCCAGCGATTAATGGGTCGTTAGTTTCTTCAACCCTCTTGCTGACTTATGGACAGGGAACGAGCTCTGATGTTGAGTTGCGTAAGCTCAGTCGTTCATAGCTGAAAGTCCTCCTTCGTCTCGGAATGGCTGAGCTCGAGGAGGCAGGAACTGGCATTGCTCTGACTCTCTATCCAATCACTTCCCTACAAATAGGGTAAGCAGTCTCCGGTTAACATTTTACCCGAGCTTCGGTCAGATAACGGTGTAGTGTGTGCTATTTAATTTCACTGGTCCGGATTCTATTCACCGCTTATCGTACACGATTCGCTTAGCGGTTAATATTCAAGAATGTATCCATTCGGTAGCCGTCGAGAATGCTCTTCTTGATCTCACAGCTGATTAGGGAGAAGCTGAAGCCCGGTGTTAGCTACTGCTGCTGGAATCCATGGTGCTGGTAGGCAGAAGACGTCCGTAAGGGTCCTTTCATGTAGTAACCTCAAATTTCACGATTGAGTAAACAAGAAACGGACGTCTAATGTCTACCACTCCTGCTGGATTCCATGGTGCTGGCAGGCGGAAGACGTCGAAAGGGTCCATTCGAAACAGTAGCCGTTATTCTCAGGGTGGGAAAAGAAAAGAAAAGCTGACGTCAAATCTTATCATTGCTTCTGGAATTCGTGGTGTGCTGGCAGGCGGAAGACGTCGAAAGGGTCCATTCTGTCGGTGCACATCGCCAAGGAGGCCGGTCAGCTGGTCTTCTTCGTGAACAGCCCGTGGTGTCCCAAGCGCAGCAGCGGGAAAGATGCCGGACTATGGCAGCTGCTCTCCAAGGTCAGCCCGGATTCCACGGGAGCGGCAGAGGCCGCGTGATGAGAATGCTGGTTTTGGGCTCAAAACGAAAGCAGGAAACAGGGAATGAATTGTCCTCGCTGTACTGTTTTTCAGCAAATTCAGGGTGATCTCTCTGTCGCCTCATCTCCTACTTGATATCGTTCGTCGTATGTCCACCAACTTCACAGAATGATCCGTTTCGTTTGTCACTCAAATTCCAAGTCTCTTGCCCCTCCTCACCCGTGGATTTCTCCAGGCGCCGCGGTACGACTCGCCGTTCGCCAACAACAGCCTCATGGACCGCCTGCTGGGCGAGATCATGGCGCTCGAGGACTCCTTCTGCAGGTCAGTGGGGATGTAGAAGGATGTAGGTTGTGAGTCGAAGAGGTTTTAACCTTTTTTTTTTTCCGAGTTCATGGTGCTTGAGGACTCCTACTGCAGGTCAGTGGGACGATTCGAGCTGAATTGTAGAAGTAGCTAAGGTGTGAAGAGGCTCCAACGAATCAAATTGTTAGCAAGATCATGGCGCTGGAGGACTCCGTCTGCAGGTCAGTGGGACGACGTGAGCTGAATTGTAGAAGAATTTAGGCTGTTAAACGAAGAGGCTGTAACGAATCCAACTTCTGGGCGAGGGTGGAAGGCACGGGAGGGTCGAGCAGAGGCTGCTGCTGCTGCACACCTTCGATCACCACAAAGACCACCGCTTATTCATCCATTCCGCATGCTCCTTCTCTTCCTTATCCGTGTCATTTCATAGCAGGACTCCGAGATTAGGAAGTGGCAGCAGTGGTGGCGGAGGAGGCAGCATCGGCGGCATAGGCAGCAGCAGTGGGCGGCACAGGAGGGTGAAGTGGAGGTCGCTGGACGCCTTTGTGCGCCGCCTGCACGCCAGGCGCAGGGCGCTCTCACATCTGCACCCACCGCCGCACGGCCTCTGCGGCTGCGTCACCCTTGAAGTCAGCTGGAGCGATGTGCGCGGCCTCCGATACGAGAATGAACTGCAGGTGTGTTCCTGCACCCGCTCCCTCATCCCCTTGTAGCTGCGGCGTCAACCTTAGATTCAGCTGGAGCCATGTGCGTGGGCTTCGCTATGAGAACGAGCTGCAGGTTCCATGATTCTCCCCTGCTTCTGGTCTCTGTTTCGGTTCCCCGTTTGGAGCATTCTATTATGTTCTGCTCTGCTCGGTAGCAAGGCCTGGAGCCTAGCCACACCATCAGTTCCTTGCGTTTCACTGTGAGATTTTTCTCTCCGACCAACCCAAGACAAGACTACCAAGCGTCTGGCAACCCAGCCTAGCCCAGTTTGCCCCAGCCTTAGCCCTCTACTTACTCCCTACCCTCCGCTCTGCAACCCTTACTCCTTCCTTCTGGCCAGGCGGAAGCCAATCTGGCGATGGAGGTCACACGAGTGGTGAAGCGCGAGTATGACTCGTTTGACCACGCCGTGCACTCACATGCCCTGCGCCTCTACCCCGCCACGCCCTCCCATGGAGCCACACCGTTGCCTGGGAACACTCCCCTGCAGGGGACCAACGCCTCCCACGCCTCTGTGCCTGCTGCCAGTTCACGTGTCTCCACTGGTCTGTGGATGGGCGGGAGGACGTTCAGTGGGAATCGGGCAGGACCAAAGTCTCCCCTTGGGGCTGCTGCTGCTGCTGCTGCCTGTGGCGGCGCTGGTGCTGCTGCTGGGAGTTTTGGAGCAGTGTACAGCACTCCTGCTAGCAGTTTCGCTGGAAGCAGCAGACTAGCTGCTGCTGCTGCTGCTGCTGCTGATGCTGCTGCTGCTGCTATTGCTGATGCTGGTGATTCTGCCCATGCTGGTGCAGCTCGTGCTGCTCCTTCCGGCGTTGATGCTGCTTGTGGCAGTGGCTTGTGGAGCAGGCAGGGCCAGATGTGCATCACCAGCCCCTTTGGCAGTCCGAGAGAAGCCTTTGGGAGCTCTCAAAAGCTAGCCAGAAAAGCGCTCTTTCACGAACCGCGGGCTCCGTGCTCTCCGGTACCTTTCAGGCTGCACCCTGCCGCTGATGCTACAGTTGCTCATGGTGATGCTGATGCTGCAACAAGGGAGGAGCTGGTGGCGTTTCAAAGCACACGAAGCAGGCTGTCAGACTCGCAGGTGCGTTAAGCATGCTGGATCCCTTCCCTGAGTGGAAGCGTAACGGCCTTATCATGCCCCCACACTCACTCCCTTGATTCCTTCTGTCTCTCTCCCTCACTCTCCCTCCCTTCCTCGTCCCCCAGACCCTCCCTCCCTGTTTCTGATACCCTTGCCCATTCTTCCTTATTCTTTTGTTTTTCCCTTCCTCGTCTCCTGTATTGTCCCAGCTGTGCAGCCCTCCACACCAAGAGCAGCAGCAGCAACGCCAGCAGCAGGCAGGCACAAGCCAGTCCAGTTCGGACCTGAACGCATGGATGAGCGACTCCAGTGAGAGGTTTTCAGAGGGGTGCAGTGAGGTGGGCTTGCTAGACGCTGATTTTGTTTTCCACGCCCAATCAGAGGGTGAGTGCTGTGATGATAGCAGAAGCCGGGAGGTGACGAATGGTGGAAATCCGGCAGAGGAGAGGATGCCGAAGGGAATGGTGCTTGGAAACGCACCTGCTTGGTTGTTAGAGAATGGGAGTGGTGGTGCCGCTGATGAGAGGGAGTCCTTTTTGAGTGGGGAGCCTAGCTATGCATCCTGCTGGGAACATGAGTTTCCACTGTACAGCGAGAGTCGATCCAGTGTACATGATGACGTGGAAGCAGATGGCGTGGAATCAAGTGCATGTGATTATATTGATGCAGAGCCACGTCATACCTCAGAAAGCTGGGAGGAGGTGGAGGCAAAGTCACCACCCAATGTACATGATGATATAGAGGCAGATGGGGTGGAATTGAGTGCGTGTGATTTTATCGATGCAGAGCCACATCACAGCCCAGAATGCTGGGAGGACGTGGAGGCGGAGTCACAGCCCAGTGGAGATGACGACGTGGAAGTGGTAGGGATGGTATCTAGTTGTATGCGTGGAGAGATGGAAGCAGTTGGGGTGGCATCCAGTGTACATGATGACGTGGAAGCAGACGGGATGGCATCGAGTGTCTATGATGACGTGGACCAGGATGAGGTAGTGTCGAGTGTGTATGAAGGGACGGAGGAAGAGGCGTGGGATAGTCCAGAGGGCTGGGAGGAGGTGGAGGCAGAATTTTTACAGACTCTTTGTGATGGCAGGGGCGCAGATGGGGAAGTGTCGAGCGAGTTTCACGAGATGGAAGCATATCCAATGGAAGCAGGGTCAGCAGAAGCAGATTCAGCACGGACTGTGCATGGCGGTGTGGAGCAAGGGCTGTTCCCCAGTATTCTCATTCCTCGCCGCCTCTTTGTGAGCACCAGCTGCTGCCGGAGCGAGGATGAGGATGCGTGTGGTGATGATGGTGATGATGGCAATGGTGATGTTGATAGTGACGAGTGTGGAGACACATACAGCTATGATGAGGACAAGGAGGACGAAGGCGAGAGGAGGGTCGAAGCTTGCGATGACAGCTGCGGCAGTTGCAGTAGTGGGAGTGGTGGCGGTAGTGGCAGTAGTGGTGGTGATGGCAGTAGTGGTGGTGATGGTAGTGGTGCTGGTAGCTATGTTGATGAGATGGACAGCAGAAGCTATTGCTCTGATGATGATGGTGATGGTGACACTGAGAGTGACTGCCATGGCTATTGCTCTGACGATGGTGACGGTGACATTGAGACTGACAGCAGAAGCTACTGCTCCACCTCTTCCTCTGCCAAACAACACCAACACCAACGCCACCACCAACACCACCACCAACAACACAAACGACAGCATTTCACCTCTCCTTCCCGCACCCTCGCCACCCACCCTCACCCCTCCACCTTCCTCACCTCCCCCAGACCCCACCTCCCATCCCCCCACCAAACCCGCACCCCTCCCACTCACCTCACCTACCCCTCCACCCTCCTATCCTCTCCGAAACCCCTCCTCCCAGCCCTTCGCGCCCCTCCCACCACCATCACCTACCCAGACACCCTCCTCCTCTTCCGCTTCACCCACCCGCATCTCCCCGCCGCCCTCGCTGACGTCATCACCACAGACCAGCGCCTGCTCCACCAATTAGAATCCGGCCTGCCTGCGTGGGCCGTTTTCCTCCAATCCTGCGCCGGCCTCTCGGCCCTCTACCGCCCCTGGATGCGTCCTCTCGTCGCGTACGCGTGCTTTATAGTCTCCCTCGTTACAGTCCTCATTGGATTCTACGACCTGTATAAGAACATCCCGGTGCTACAGGAAATGCTGGCGCGGATGCTGGGGCCGATATGGTCAGTTGTAGGCACATGGGACATGGGAACAAGACTAAGATACCTGGGAACGATTCTCTTTCTGCAGAACTGGGAACGGGCATTCAAGTGGCTATCCTCCTCCTGGAAAGTCATCTCGCATGGGCTTTCCCTTCTCTCCTACCTCCTCTCTCTCCTCCTCCGTCCCTTCCAGCACCCCTGCTCGCTCCTCTCACACGCCTTCCTCCTCTGCCTCTCCAAACTCCTCTCCACCGCATGGAACCTCGTATCTGCCCTCAGGAAGCTGGTTACCAGCAGCGGCCGGTTCCTCAGCTACACCATGCGTCCCCTGTGGCTGCTGGGGCAGCACACACTTGTCCCCGTGTGGCAGTTACTGCAGGCGTGCTACCTGGCTGTATCCAGCACTGGAGTAGCCATATCCAACGGCTGTCTGCTGCTCTATAAGCTCCTCTCACAAGCCTACTGCTGCTCTGTGCTAAAGCTCGCTCATCTGCTGTCTTCACTGATATCTTCTCGTGTATCCTTCCTGTACAGCAACGGCTTGCTGCTGTATCGGCTCCTCGCGCAAGCATGCAGCAGCAGCGTGTGGAGAGTGTCTCAGCTGCTGTCTGCTCAGCTGTCGTTTGTGTATACTCAAGCTGTGCTGCTGGGCCGGCTGCTTGGGATGCTCCTTCACCCGCTGCTGCTCCTTGCTCGTACCCTCTGGGCCGTAGGTGAGTCTTTGAGAATTCTTCAAAGCGATCCCTTTGTGCTGTAGGTGATGAGTTGCACACACCGTGTTTGATAAAGGAGCCCTGTCAAATACAACACCACAGATTTTTTAGTCGACTCAAAAATCAACTCAAATACAACACCACAGATTTTTGAGTCGACTCAAAAATCAACTCAAATACAACACCACAGATTTTTGAGTCGACTAAAAAATCAACTCAAATACAACACCACAGATGAGGTGGGTTTGGGCCAGGCCAGCTGAGTAGTTAGTTGCCCCGTTCCTGTTGTCTCATCACACCATGTTTCGTTTACCTCATGCGCTGTGTTTCATTTGCTGCGTTTCATTCACGGTGTCTCATGCACAGTGTATCATTTTCCCTGCTCTCATGCACCTACCTCTGCCCTCTCATCTCTCTCTCGTGTCTCAATCCTACCATTTCTCACACTTACGCTGCACATTCTCACATCCTCATCTTTCACTCCTTCTGTCCCGCCATCTCTCCCTCCGTCTCACCCACCATGTCTCCCCACCGTTCTCCAGGTCGAGCCATCATCCTGCCCCTAGTCCAGTTCATCCACCTCCTCCTCACGCCTCTCCTCTCCGCCCTCCTCTCTCTCCTCAAGCTCCCCCTCCAGCTGCTCCGTCTGCTGCTGCAAATCTCCTCCTTCCTCTACTCCACCTTTTCTCACTCATTCTCGAACTCCCTCTCCCTCTCCCTCGCCTCCTCCCTCAAAGCCCTCTCCCTTCACTTGACACACCTCTCCAACACCCTCTTGCTTCACCTTGTGTACCTTTCCAAGACCCTCGTGCAACCAATCACATACTCCATAAAAGCCCTCTCTTTCACCTTCGCTTACGGATTTAAATCTGTGGCTAATACTTTCTCCTATATCTCCAAGGCTGTTACCTCTTCCCTGCGATTGGTCGGAGGGGCTCGAAAGCTAGGCTCGGCGACCAAGGCTGTGGGACAGCAGATCTCTGCTGCAGGTTCGGCAGTTGGGCAGGTTTCCGCAGCTGCAGGTTCAGCGGTGGCTCGGTCGCCGTCCTCCTCTCTGCTGCAGCTGTGGCATAACCTCTTCCAGAAGGTGGGGTTACCAGAGACAGTACGATCAATTTTGTTGCAAACTGCCCTTTTTCAAATTCTCGAAGAGCAGCTCCTCCATGCTGCAGCTGTGGCATAACCTCTTCCAGAAGGTGGGTTTACCAGAGACGGTAAGATCAATCCACTCATTCAGGTTGGGTGGAAGGCACTAGAACAATCAGTCAGTCCCTGAGTAGCTTAAAAGTTGCCGTCCTCTTCCCGAAGGTGGTATGACCAGAGACGTTGAAATCAGTTCACTGATTTGCACAGCGTTTCAGTCTATAAACATTCAGTGTACTATGGGTACGCTTTACGGTACCACGCAAAGGTTCCGGGCGAAGAAAATGGGGCATTTGAACGGTTTCTTTAGCCTGCTTCTATATTTCAGTGCTACCCTCCAACTCCCCCTCTTCTTTCCTCTCTCTATCTCCTGCTCTCTCTTCTCTGTCTCCCTCTCCCCCCTTTTCCGCTCTCCACAGCTGTTCCGAGCCTTCATGTGGATCTTCAAGGGCGTGGCGTGGGCCCCTTCGATGACCTTCTTGGCATCTGATTTCTCTATCTCTTCCTCTATCTTCACCTGTCTCCCACTCCCCCTCCCCCTTTCTCCCCTCTTCCCAGTTGTTCCGAGCCTTCATGTGGATCTTCAAGGGCGTGGGCTCCTTCGTAGCTGCTGCTAACAGACACCGCCTCAGGTATTGCCCTTGAATCAAATCCTATTTTGAGCCTAGTATGTGTTTTTTTTTCTTTCTTTCTTTCTTTCTTTCTTTCTTTTTTTCACTTCTCCCTGTCCCTCTCCCCCTCCCTCTCCCTCGCCCTCTCCCTCTCCCTCTCCCTCTCCCCTCTCTCTCCATCTCTCACGCTCTTGCTCTCGCCCTTGGTCTTTCTCATTTACACCCCTGCCTTCCTCCTCCCCCTCCACCCCCCCCCCATCATTCCCTCTCACTAGCACACTACACTATGTGCTGTCCCAGGCATGCACCCGACTCCCCCAGAGCATTCAGCACGCCCGACACATACATGGGAAGCTCAAAATTCCCCTGTATACCCTTGCCTCAATATTGGTGTTACTTTTGAGAATTCTCACAAGTAACTGTGCTCATAATGCCCATATATACCCCTGCCTCCACCCACTCTTCCTCCCCCGCTTCCCTCCCCACATGTCATCCGCACCAGCACGAGGCACTATGTGCTGTCCCAGGCGCGCAGGCTGCAAGCTCGGTCTCTCCAAGCTGCTCAGCACGCCCAGTCAACAGTGCTCAAGTATGGTCGCAAGCTGCTTGCTCCCCCTCGCATTACGACCGCTCCTCCAGAGATTCTAGTTGCTGCTCGACCAGGGGAGACTGCACGAGTGGGGAATCGTGAGGAGGAGGGGGGGCAGGGGGGAAGGGGAGGGGGAGTCTCAGGGGTTGTCGTCACTCGTGAAGGGGCTGAGGAGGAGCAGCAGGGGGGAAGAAGAGGGGGAGTCCCAGGGGTTGCTGTCAATCATGACGTGGCTGAGGAGGAGTTCTGGGATGCCCCAGAGAGCATCATCGATGGGGGACCTGAGGAGGGTTGTGAAGAGGATTCTGATTCCGAATGGGACAAGTTTGAGGAGGGAAGTGACTTTGAGGATAAGGGTGATGAGGAGGATGATGAGGATACAAAGGTTTCAGGAGATCACCAGGACGAGGAGGAGGACGAGGAGGGGGAGGAGGAGGAGGGGGGGGGAGGAGGAGGGGGTGTTTGAGGATGCTCGGAGCGATGCATTCGAAAACGCCTCTCATGGAGAGGCCTGAGATGATTAGGTATGGGTTATGATTAGGCATGGGATGCCATGATGGGCTCCTTTCTTAGGATGATTTTGTATTCCAAATTGCCTCGCATGGAGATGCCTCGGACAATAAGGTATGGGCTTCTGTCTGCAGGTTGCAGTTGTGGAAATAGTCGCGGCATTCGGAAGTGTGTATGGTGCTGCGCTTGCAATAATTCTGCCCTGGTGCAATCGTTTGTTCTCCCCCCCCCTGCGCCCCTTTCCTCCTCCACGATGCCTTATCCCACTTGCTCTTTCTGTTCATCTCCCCTGTTCCCACCCTCCTGTTTGGCAAACGTTGACCCTTCCTTTCCTCCCACCCTGGACAACCCCCCCCCCCCCTTCATATTTTCTTGTATTCTTTTTTTGTTATTTTTTTATTTCTTTTAAGTCCGCCCTCGCCTCTTAGCTCAGTCGCAACCCAACACTGCAAACGTCATATGCTTCCATCCCTTCATCCTTCTCCCTCAATCCGTTGGGTCTACCTTTCCAAACTGAAATTTATTGTCTGCTTCCATACTTTCATTCCCCCCCCCCCCTTCCGCTCCCTGCTTTCACTCACCCCCATCCCTGTTCCCCTCGTCCTTCGTGTTTTCGTTATCGCTCTGGGTCAAATGATCCTCTGCGCAGGAAGAACTGTGCATGAAATTAGATCTCAACAGCTACAATTTTGAAGGCGTTCTGCTGATGTCGAGTTTGTACAATCAAGGTAGGAGGAACAGTTCAGTAAGCAACAATTGCATCACTTTCAAGTTTTTACCTTCTTGTGTACGGCCCTTCAATTATGCATCAATGTATTCATTTTTTCTGTCGTCGTCTTGCAGGTTTCAAGCCATAGCCAGAGTCCCTGGTGACAACAGAAGCAACCTCACAGTAGTATTGTCTCATCTTGGAGCATTTTGGACCTGGAAATTGGAAACAATGCTTCACGTCACAGCTAACACTACTGCATTTACACGGGCGTGTTATGTATGTAGTAAGCCTGAATGGTTGCCCTGACCGGCCAATTTGGTATTTGGAAACTCTTCGGGTATGTGCGATGCTTTATTAACCCATCTCGACTGTTGGTAAACCTTGCTGGTTGCCTCGACCGTTGCTCGGTTGCATCGAACAGTCACCTATGTGTGGGGTACACAACTGACTCTAAACTGTGTTTAGGTGAAACAAGCTTGTATGGTACGTTACCCCCGTTGTGTTATTGAGGGCGGGTCAAAAGAGTACGTCCGATTGCGGTTCAAAAAGGTTAAGGCTTGATCCAGAGCGGTCTATTTAAACACGACATGGTTGGGTAGGGGTTTTCTGCAAAAAACATGCAAAGTTTGACTCGCCCTGAGAATCATGCTGTACAGAACCGTAATGTTATAGCCGTCCTTCTCACTCACGCATCACAGTGGTGCTGGAAGTCGTGGCGGTGATACCAATCAGCAGTGGCCTCCATGGTCCAAGGAGGCACGCTGGTTCTGGTGGGTGGTCCAGCTGCCCAATTGAATCTGCCGTTTACAGGTCGCCGCGTGGACTCTCGGAGAAGCCGAACGAATGACGTCCAGATGCGTCGCTACGTTGTCAATCCCGTGATGTCCACGTCGGCCAATCGCATCCACAGCGTTCCACCGACGTGTCCACCCACCACGACGCAGTTTTCGCAGTTTGCGGTACTTTCCACGAAGCGAATCATTGGTGCACCGCTGGTGACGTTTTGCTTCGCAACGAAAGCAATGAAGCCAACCGCACTTCCCGAAGTTGGGGTTCGATTGGGGGGGGATCCAACTACCGCATCCGCCACCACCGAAGTGTTCCCCCCCCAACTATCCACAGCCCGCCACGGATATCCGCCGACGACCTTCCGCTCTGCCACACGTGCAAAAATCTCAACTCGGACTCGCTATGTGCTCGTGCCGGACACTGGCTCCACCTCCTGGGCACGAGGTCTTGCTTTGTATACCGCGACACTTCAGCAGGCGTATGCTGACCTGGCTCTCTGTAACTCGCTGGAAAATATTCGCCTTGGCGGGAACCATGCCTTGAGCCTGCTTCTTGTCCCTCAAACACACCTTGACGGTGTGCCCTAAACGTGTTTCTGGAGAACCCCTTTCTGCCTCCTCGCCCTGTCCAGCTTGCTGAAACGTGTTTCCTTCATGGCTGCTTTTTCCTGGTGTGGTCCCAGCGCTGAGGCCATTCCGCCGCAGCGGGAAGCAATGGAGTCAAGAGAGTGGAGAGGTATGGTCAGGCTCCTAGGGTTTGCAGGAAAGCCATTCCATTATTCAGACTGCAGTAATCTTTGGATAGATAAGAGGTTGGCCTCCATACTTTCCATCATCCCAAGTGTCTTAGATTCACCTGCTTATTCACGCATACTTCGCTCTACTTTCCAAATTACTTGGACCAGTGACCATGGCTGCCACCGCCACCCTACCACAATCCTCGTTCCTAGTCGGAGCTAAGAGCTCAGTATCGAGATCATGCAAGCTTTCACAGGTGTCCCTTCAATGTAAGAGAGGCTCGTTTCCGTCTGGATCGGAAGCTAAGTCAAGTGGTCGGAAACTGCCTGAAGTGCGAATGGAGAGTGCGTCCGTGTTGGCCTACCAAACCTCCAACGGCTCGGATCAAGTTGAGAGTTGGACTGACCCTTCCATGGTTTCCCCAGCTGTCACGCAACAGAAGATTGAATCATGGCTTCAACACTCCGCCGCTGATGTAAGCTTCGCGTAAACCATTGTTGTCGAATCATGTATGCTGGTTCCATCCCTGCGTATCTTGATTTGTGTGACCACATCAAAAGACTGAAACTAACCGTCCCGGTCCTTTTTTTCCCTCTTCCAGATTATTCGACATCTTGACGAGGCACCTTTTTTCCATCTCATATTCGATGGCGTCCGTGGCTTCCGATCTCCCGTTAGACAGCGGCTACCACGTGGTATTGTGGATCACGCTGACAGCTGGTCGTCCGTACGACAAGCAGTTCAAAACGACGATCCAGATGGTCTCATTTTAGTTCACCGGCTCGATGAGAGCGATCTTTCCAAGAGATACGGCCAGGAGTTGTCTGGAGAGCTAGAAGAGATGGCAACGCCGTCTAATCCCTGCCAGACGAATGTGTGGGGGTTGGTTGTGTTGGGAAGAGCAAGCCACCGGCATGCCTGCTACATACTGAAGACGATACGTTGCCCTGCGGCCTCGTCGCTATCTGCGACACGGTTTTCCATTACAAGGGCCAAGTGCTTTGGCGCTTCCGTGCACAAGCAGCTGGAGCAGGCATGGTTGAACAACTAGCTAGATCTGACACCCTGTTTTTGTTAGGTAGTGTAAGTATGTACATTTTAGCCATGATTATCTCCATACCCTAGGTTTCGTTCAGTGCTATGTCCACACTATCCTGTAATCCAATAGCGTAATTTTCTTTATTGTACACAGTTCGTTTGTAGTCCATAACTACTCAGTCCCTTTTCACAACTTCGGGCCGCGTCAATTTATCATTAGATGAGTGGATCGAAACGCATCCACTCCCGTGAAAATATTTTGCAGGAAGATCACTATAGAATCCGCAGCGTCAAGCTTCAATCAAAGCACCGTTTAGCTGAGTCAGATTCCCCCCTTCTGGTGGAAAATCATCCGGCGCCGTTCACGCTCCGTCGTGTCACGCTCCTCCCGTCGGCAATATAAACTCCGCGTGCGCCTCGGCCGTACATTGCATCCAATAGGTCGCAGGCAATCCGCGGTTCGCACCGGAATTTCCCTCCCCATTCCAACTGCAAAGCAAGCCAGCCCGAGACGTCACTCGAACATATCAATTCAGCTCCTAAGCCCATTTCCACATCAAACAGCTAAACTTGTCGAGCACACTTCATCCCGCGCTCTCTGCTTCACCTTCCGTGCTCCCGCAAGCCAGAATTCTTCCATACATCAGCTTCTCGGAGGCCTGTGTTAGCTAGCTCGCAGCTGTCACATCGCATCGCTCTACTCGGACGATCATGGCTCGCAGTGCAGCTCCTGCTGTAACCCTCATAGCACTCCTCGTCACAGGTGCGAACTGTTCATTTTTCCACTCATACTGCAGTATATACTTAGCGAATTATGATCGCTTCGCCGCTTTAATGCCTGCAGCTACAAATTGCCCTTTCGCTGATCTTCGTTGTTCTTTTCCTGGTTTTCTTTGGACATATAGTGATTCTTGCGCAAGGAATTGAAGCAAGGTATCTTCCCACCAGCCGTCTGCGGACCAACCTCAAGCCATCCGCAGCAACCGCCAAAGCAGCCACCGCAGCCTCAGCAGCTGTCGCAGCCGCAGCAAAATCAGCTGCGGCAGCAGCCCCGAACGTAAACATCAGCCCCGCATACCCCAACTCCTCTATCACCGACTTCGTCACGTCTCTCACGGAAAGCATCAACAACTTAGTCGCGAGCATCAACAGCAGCGCGACCGCCACCGAGGCCGCGCTCCGAGCACAGGTGTCTGCGTTAAATGCCAGCCTCAATGCGCTTAGCGACAGCCTCGCACACCTCAACTTTACGTTCGCCAGAGCGAATATCTCGTCGAACTGGATCACGTCGTCATCATCAGCTCCACTGCTGGCGGCCTTGAATTCTCAGCTGAATTCTCAACTTTCGGCCCTTGACGCAAAGCTGTCTGCCAAGGGCTTGAAGACGAGCATCGACGCGCTCGCGAAGGACCTCGCAGGGTTCGCGGCAATGCGGTCCGCAGGGACGCAACCGCTCGCGGCGGGGGCGCAACCCCTCTCGGCGGTTTCACCAAACGCGGCGGCCGGCGTGAGTGCCGCACATTTGGCGAGGCAGATGGCGGATCTGACGCAGCGTCTTGCGGGGATCAACGGGAACGTCAACGCGCTCGCGGGGATGGTGAACGTTGTTGCTAGCGGGGTTGCTAATGGCGTGAACGGGGTTCTCGGCGGCGGTGTGGACGGCAGCGTGGTGGCGAATCTCGCGAATCTTCTGCCCCAGCAGGCGGGCATGCTGCGTGCCGTGCTGACGTCATGCAACGGCCTGCTGTCTCTCCAGGCCGGCGCTGCTGACATTCAGATCCTCAAGATGTAAGTGACTCATGCTGACTCGCGTTGACTCGTGTTGATCCAAGGTCCAACAATACCCTCTCTGCACCAGGCTTTATCCTTGCATTTTGCTTTTCCACCGTTCTTTTAGCAAGCCAATGCTGGTTCAAACCTCCTTATCTCATTCTTTCTTTCTCCCATTCATCCTCTCTGCTGCCTGTTGCTTCGTCTCGTGCAGTGGCTCGGACTATCTGGTGACATACTACCTGTACGTAGCAGGAGTGACCAAGGCCCCAGACTCGCAGGCCATATTCAAGGGTAACCCTTGCAACACTGCTGCCACTGTGCCCCTCGCCCTGCCTGGCACGTGGGTGCCCATGAGCCCTGTGTCCTGGTCGCTGGCCAATGTCATGAGGGCATCTGCTGCTGACGTGGCGGATCTGTTGGCATCTCTTCAAACGGTCACCAATGATAGGCTATATCTGGGCTTCTTTGGGGCTGATGGAGCTCTCTCAGGGAAAATGATTGGGGGAAACTTCTGAAGGCAGGGCGATGGAAGGAACATTTCAGATGCATCATCCCTCTAGTAACCTGTTACGAGGTGATGCATCTTTCATGTTCCACCCAGCGTGCTAGAGAATGTGTATACAAGCATGACTAGATTTTTAGGTTGGGGCCAATGCCTTATCAATTTAAGTGCTTCAATGCATATTGAAGTGAAACAATCTGTTAGCAAAATTGCTTTGTTCATTCTCTATTGGGGAAGGTGTGCATTACAGAATGTCGATGTGCCCCTTTATGGGCCATCATCGCATCATGTCAGACTGTACGCGTGTCCGTGTGTTGGAAAAGGAAAGCCGAGTCCCCGTTTGGAACCCTTCATGTTTTGTTGCCTAGTGCCAACATTGTCCTCCTTCCCAACCTGTCCCGCTAGTGCCTGAACTAACTTACTACACACAAAGCCAGTGTGCTGTACTCCCCCTTTCCCCGTATAACCACTTTATACCGATCTGTAAAGTTCATCGTTGCATCACGCGCTAGGTGGTAGAGTGTACATCTGTATTGCACTGTACACTTCGCAGCTGTTTTCACTCATTCGAAGTCCTACCTCTATTGCACTCCCATTCCCAGCAAAGCAATTTAGGCGACTCGCCTATCTAATCTTGTGTGCATCATCAACTAGAACTTTTCGTAATACTGTTTCCGTACGATATCTACTGAACCATGCGCACCGCATCCCATTAGAAGGCCGCAAATGGCGCGCCATGCATCCCCCGCGTCGTTAACCCTAATCGCGCTCCTCGTCACAGGTGAAATCTCTTCAAACCCTGACCTTGTCCCTTCACGCCGCCTTTGCCGTCGCTTTCCTTGCCTGGAACCATGTTTTACTGTTCTTAAAAATTAAAAATTCCCTAGTTGTTTGCCTGGATGCTCGTTTCACTCGCAGTGTACTTCGTGTCAAAAACCGACGCGTTTTGCTTTTTTCTTCCCACCGACGACTTCTGTAACAAAGTCAAGGCAGGCGCACTAGCAGCAGCAAAAGCAGCCGCCGCCAAAGCCGCTGCAGCAGCCAACACCACCGAAGCAGGCGCCAAGAGACTCACCGCGTCCCTCAACTCCTCCGTCTCCTCTTTCGACTCATACATAACGAAGCAAGTTGCAAACCTCGAAAAGAGCATCAACAGCAGCACATCCGCTACTACGGCCGCCATAGAAGACCACTTATCTTCGTTTGATGCCAGCCTCGCTGATTTCTCCGACTGGCTGAACAACAGCATCAGCTTTACATCGACGGAAGCAGCAGACCATGCGCGTTCAGGGAAGGCAGCAGCAGCGGCGCCGTCGCCGTTAACCTCACAGCGTCTGGTGCTAGAATCAAGCATATCGAATTTGCGGTCGAGTATCCGCGTTTTAGACAGGGATCTCAAGCTGGCGGCGGGTGTAGGCAACTCGCAAGGATGGCGCGCGGGGCCTTCTGCCGTTGGGATGGTTCCAACAAGCGCAGCAGCCGGCGTGCGCGCCGAGTTGGTGAGGCAAAGGTTGTTGCGGCAAATGGCGGTTGTGGCGCGGAGGGCAGCGGAGGTCAATGCCGCCGTTGCTGCGTTTGCTGAGAAAATAAACAGCCTAAATGGTCAGAGGGTGCCCTAAACATTTCAGAGTGTGTGCAACTGGCGGAGGTTCAGAAAGATGGCTGCATTTGGGCGGGTTTCAGGGACTGGCTTCCGCTAGAATTTGGGCATGTATAATGGCATCAGTACTACTGGTCATTTAGGAAGTGCCAGCCAAGTGCGTTGGCGCATAGTCCAACAAGCAGCTGGAGCTTTTGGATTTTGTAGTGTTGAGTTGCCTCTACAATGTAGGAAGCTAGTCTCTTGTTTGTAGTATCTTGTTTGTAACTATGAACATTTCCTACAGATATTTCCGTTGGACATTCTGATAGGCTTTCTCTAGCTTGGAGGGGATCTGACTGGTGAGTTGGGCCAGGGCCCATATCACGCATCAACTCACAAGGCATGTCTGATACAATACTATGCAGCCTAATAATATGGTTTTTAAGATGAAATTGTACAACTTCGCGACTTTCAAACAAAAGAACAACGATTCATCAATGCAATTCGCTTGTCATTTTCGGTGCAATTCCGCCTGCCCATTCAACTGCATTCACCCTCCTCTGGGCAGCACCAGCCTCCGACCGACCGACCAACCTCCCTCGCTCACAGCACCGCTCCCAGCCACTCCGCGTGCGCCTCGGTGAGAGGAGATGAACCAATCAGACGCACACAATCCGCGGTCCGACCTGAAATGTCCGAAATTTCTTGCTTCACCGCACCAAAGCCTTGCAAATCCAAGGGCTCCACACAGTCACTCAAGAGGAGCATATAAATTGGACACCAGAAGAGATTTCGGCATCACCTCTCAAAACGCGAACAACCCAGCATTCCAGCACGATACATCCGAATGGTGAGTCACCATCCTCAGACACTGATATCGACGCCTCGTTTACTCATTCGTCGCACTCTCTGATCACAGCGATTTTCGTTTCGACATTGTTTTGAGAGCAGCGCCTGCCTGAGATCTCTTCAACCAGTTAGTAGAATTCAATCTTCAACTCGACAAGTAGTAGCTCAACAATCATTATGGCACGCACAGCAGCTCCTTCCACGCTACTCGGGCTTGTCGCTCTGGTCCTCACAGGTGAGCCACTTCGCCAAGCCGTGCTTTCAGCACCAATTTCAAGCACCTCTTCACGCGCTACACGTTAAGATCATGTCTGTCACGAAATTTCGGTTGCATTACGTCCTCCAAATCTCATAGCGTTTCCGTTTTTTTTTTTTTTCAATCAATCCAGTGCTTTTGGCAACACAACGAGTCGAAGCTGGCCGGTTTCTTCCCAGCGTCGGCAGTCTTCCCACCAACCCACTTCCACCCGGCTTGAATTCAGCCGTCGCGGCAGCAGCCGCAGCAGCCAGTAACCCCACAGCGACGCTCAAATCGACGCTCTCGGGCCTCCAATCGTCTCTCAACGGCCAGATCGGGTCTCTCGACGCGCTTCTTAAGAAATCGCTCGATCAAATCTCGGCGGCTCTCAAAACCAGCCCATCAGCTGCAGACGACGCGCTCCAGGCGCAGATATCCGCGCTAAAAGCAAATTTTGCTGCTTTAAACGACAGGCTCGTCAAGCTGAACGCTCTAAACATCTCAGGATCGGATTTGAACGTCACGGATTTGATTTCCTCCCAGATCTCCGGGAATCCAATCCAACATCTCCTCCATCAGCACCGGCATCATCGCAAAAATCCAGAACCCAATTTCGATAGGGCTTTTCTCGTTCAGCGAACGGTGGACCAAATCGCCATCTCGTTTAGTGGGTTAAAACCTACGAAACTGTATACAATGTGTTTTTGGTATATTTTTCGAACTCATAAACATGTGTAATATTATATTTTCAGAAATGTGTTTTACATCTGTGTAGAAATTTCTAGTCCTCTTTGACGTGCTTAAGTTGTTGCAAGTATTTTATGGCAAATTACTGTCTTTTCCGTGTATAATTCATGCATAGTTAAATATCATCTACTCGAACAAATAATCATTGAGTAAAAATGTGCCAGGACGCTTAAATGACTCGACAATGTGGACAGCACGGAACACCGAGTCCACTTCCACGACATCCCGGTGCAAGTTTCGAGAACGTGGGTACTTGGCCCATTCTAGGCGCTTGCAACCTGTCGCATCGTCGTTACCAACCACCTTGTAGTACTGGACGTAGGCGAACCCTTTCTTGCTTTGTGCGTGCTTAAAAAGAAGAAGCACCTCTGCATACCATACCTCCTCCCCACCACTAATGGCCACATGAGAGAACCACGGGTTGCCGTGGTGCGATGGGTTTGCACGAATAAAATGAGTGACCCTGGAATTGTACTCCTCAGAGCCGGCGGGAATGGCCACGCCTGTGTAGACCTGGAGGCATTTGGAGGTCGTGTGGGCAGAACGGAAAGGAAAATGTGCAGAACAGGAGGGGGAGAAGAGTGAGTATGGCAGGCCTGAGAGGAGACGAACGTGGAGAGGGAGGTATGGGGGATGAAAGTGAGGGTTGCAGGGCAAACAGGAGCGGATGAAAGTGAGGATGGCCAGAGGGTGGAGGGAAGTGTGAGGGGTGGGGGTGGGGGATGTATGTGAGAGTAGCAGTCCAGAGACGAGAGGGAAGTGTGAGGGAGTGGAGGATGAATGTGGCATAGCAGTCCAGAGAGGAGAAGGACGTGTGAGGGAGTGGGGGATGAATGTGGCATATCAGTCCAGAGAGGAGAGGGACGTGTGAGGGAGTGGGGGATGAATGCGGCATAGCAGTCCAGAGAGGAGAGGGACGTGTGAGGGAGTGGGGGATGAATGCGGCATAGCAGTCCAGAGAGGAGAGGGACGTGTGAGGGAGTGGGGGATGAATGCGGCATAGCAGTCCAGAGAGGAGAGGGACGTGTGAGGGAGTGGGGGATGAATGCGGCATAGCAGTCCAGAGAGGAGAGGGACGTGTGAGGGAGTGGGGGATGAATGTGGCATAGCAGTCCAGAGAGGAGAGGGACGTGTGAGGGAGTGGGGGATGAATGTGGCACAGCAGTCCAGAGAGGAGAGGGACGTGTGAGGGGTGATGATGGGTGATGAGATTGACGGTTGCAGGCCAGAGAGGAGAGGTACAATTCGGAGGAGGGGGGGATGTGTGGTATAAGAGCGAGGATTTTTAGGTCCAAGCGTGAGAGGGAATGTTGAGGAGAGGGTTGAGGTAGGAAGGCCTTTTAAAAGCAGTAACTGTCATGGGATGGTAATCCAAGTGAACACAACATGTGAGCTTACATGGAGGGTTGGGGACGTGATGCCGGCCGTTTTGAGGTCCTCCTGCAAGGTATCCAGGCGGCCTCCCAGTGCTGAGTTGTACAGTGCAAACTGGTCTGTGCTGCTTCGGCGATACGTGCTACCAGCCATGTGCATGACCACATGGGTCCTCAAAAAAATGCGCTGCCCGGTTGTTTCCGCCTGAAAGATACAAGGGAAA